GTGATCATGGAATTCCTCATCCTGGCTCTGGACATGCATCCCACACTGTGGGGCAGTGGGGCAGTGAGGAAGCCACCACAGCTCTTGCACCTTGCCGAAAAACTAAATGGAGCAGCTTCCTTGCAGAGGGCAGAGGCTACCCCAGGAGGTATGGATGAGCAGAGAAAGAACAGTCAGTCACACCTGAGTGATAACAAGAAACAAGAGCTCAAGAAGGGAGGAAAACTCCTCCCGACTGGTACTGTGTGTCCCCGGGACGGGCCATGTGGAGAGTGGTAGTGTCAGGATTGTACATGGATTTGCAGCAGACCTGAGAGGTTTCTGGGTAAAATGCTGTTTCTATAGTAAAACTTGGGCACAAATCCAAAAGAATGGGACTCTCCATGAAGTCCTCTGGCTTTTTTGGTCCAGGTAGCAAGGTGGGAGGGGAGCCAGACTGTGGAGGTTCACAGAGGAGAGATCCTGCTACCTATTTTTTCTGATGTCTAAGAGCCTGAGCTGTATTCAGGATTTCTGTTGCTGCTACCTGAGATTCATTCTCGGTCTCCCAGGATGCTGCCACAGCATCTGTAGGGCTGAAAGAAGCTCCCTTGAAGTCAGACGTGGTAAAGATCAGCACAAGCATGTGCAGAAGCAAAGGTGAAAGGATGAGCTGAGAGCAGTACCAGGCTATTTACCTGTACCACTGTGGTGACTACTGGTAGCCACAGATGGGGCTGTGTTAGGGACTGGACAGATGGTGGCCTGGGATGTAAGGAATTACAAGTACAAGGCAAAAGATGGTGGATGAGATGGGTAAACACAAGAAAGCATACAGGGCTCTGCTTTGTCTCTCTCTCTATAACTCTCCTTTATAAAGACCAGCTCCACAGCAAGAACTTGGGCCCGCCTTCCCTCCAGCTGTGACAGTGGCCTCCTCTCAGAGAGGCCAGGCCAGGAGGCTCCAGGTGGCCATGGCCACTTGGGTCCAACCCCACAAACAGGCAGGGCGCATCCCAGCGACACAGAATCCTGCCCTTGGAATTGCAGTGGCTCTCAGGCTGCTCTCAGCCACCTGGGGCTGCAGCTGGTCATTCCCCACAGCAGGTCCACATTGGGAGACCCTGGAAACAAGCTGCAGGCAAGCAGTTTTTTTATTTTTTTTTCTTTTCTAGGAAGAATTTACTGTGAGGGCGGTGAAGCACTGGAAGAGGTTGCCCAGGGAAGTTGTGAATGCCCCATCCCTGGAAGTGTTTAAGGCCAGGCTGGATGGGGCTTTGAGAAACCTGCTCTAGTGGGAGGTGTCCCTGCCCATGGCAGGGGATTGGAACTTGATGGTCTTTAAGGTCCCTTCCAACTCTAACCATTCTGTGATTTTGCCTGCAAACCTTCCCCCGGCTTGTGAAATTTTCCCTGACAGCAACAGGTGTCCCAGGGGGGCTGAGAGATATATATACATATGTTATTTATTTATCTATCTATTTATTTATTTATTTATTTATTTATTTTTAGCTGATGTCTTTATTCCGGGGACTCCTTGCTTAAACTCCGTCTTCGCCTGCCCTCTCGTGGACACCCGGCAGAATACAGCGGAGCGCCCGCAGCCCTTTCTGGTTTTTTAACTCAACAGAGGTTTTCCAGCACCAAAACCAGGCCTAAAGGCTAAAGAATAAATCGGTGAGTGCAGAAAGCTCGGTACGGTGCTTCATAGCATCGCTGTGGGCACCCCCATCCACCCCCTCCGCCCCCCGGGCCCTGATCCCTGCTCAGCCCCAGGAAACTGGAATTCCCGTTTCTCTGCCGGGCATTCCCGAAGGCTGTGCTGAGAAGTAAAACAGGAAAGGAGCTGGCAGCATGGCAAGGGTTTGTTTGTTTTTTTTTTTTTTTTCAGTGCAGAAGCAACTTTAAGAAAAGGAAAACTTGACCACATCCCCACCTATTGGGCAGGTCTTTTCGTGGGAGGAGGGGGAGATGGGTACCAAAAGAGCCGCTCAAACACATTCTGGGAAACTTCCTGGAAAGCGGCCAGTTTGTCCATGTGGTCGAAGCCCTTTCTTCTGAGGCTTGGCAAGAGCCAAACTCCGGATCTGCAACAGGGTTTCCAAAGGTGCAGATCACCCAGGGGCACTGACACGGGCTGGGTCAGTTCTGTGTTTCGTGGGCTCTGCAGCCATAAAACCCGTGTAGGGCAGCCCTTTGTGCGGCTGCTCTCTGGTCTCTGCAAACACCCTCCGTGCTGAGCAAAGCTCGGTGCCATGGGCTGGCCGTGCCAGATGCCTGCAGACCTCTGCCCCGCCGACACGGAGGCACTGATTGCTATCGCTTCAGCTGAACCGCCTGGAAAAGCCGTGACATCATTGTTTAAAAAAAAATAAAAATAAAATAATTATCTGTCAGGAGGAGGAAACACAGACACGACCCAGGAAAATACTGTATTTATTTTGCCAACGCAGCTGAGCAAGTAAATGGGAAATAGAGGTCGCGGCTCCGCAGCCTGCTTGTCTGGGGCAAGGGGGCTGTCAGCCCAGCCGCTTCTAAAAGTGACAACTGCGGTAATCAGAGAGGTAGCGAGCTCAAAGGCAGGCAGCTTCCAACTGCGAGGGGAGAAACCTAAGTATGTGTGTCAAATGAGGACAGTATATGTGTCAAAACCCTGTCCTAAGGTTAACCAGCTTTACTAAACATTTAAAACCGACTGGGGAGAGGGGGAGAGAGGAGGCCAGAGAGGGCATGAGATGGGAAAGCAGGTTTTTGCTTTTTTCCCGATGCTCAGGCAATGTCCTATTTGTTGTCATTCATATAGAATCATAGAATGGTTTGGGTTGGAAGGGACCTCAAAGATCATCGAGTTCCAACCCCCCTGCCCTGGGCAGGGACACCTCCCACTAGAGCAGGTTGCTCAAAGCCCCATCCAGCCCGGCCTTGAACACTTCCAGGGATGGGGCACCCACAACTTCCCTGGGCAACCTATTCCAGTGTCTCACCACCCTCATAGTAAAAAATTTCTTCCTGAGATCTAATCTGAATCTTTTTTCTTCCAATTTAAAACCGTTTCCCCTTGTCCTATCATTACCCCTCCAGGCAAAGAGTCCCTCCCCAGCTCTTCTATAGGCACCCTTCAGGTATTGAAAGGCCACCCCACCCCGTGCTGAATAGGGGTAAACTGGTGAGGGCTTATGCTGGGCTCAGCCTCGCCGAGCAGTCAGCAGGGTGAGACCAACCTGCAGGATGTGAAATAGGCTCCTGTCCCGGGAAGATGCACACAAAGGGAGGTTTTTTGCTGCCCAGAGGCTCTCGCCCCACGAAAAGCCTGCCCTGCCGTGGCTGGGTGCTTGCTGCAGGGCAGCCGTCCTGCCCAGCCAAATCAAACAGCAGGAGGAGGGAGAGGCTGGCTCCGGCTCAGCCCTCGCTTTTCTGGGGGCTTTTTCATGTGCCAGCAGATCTGGTCCACTGGGAGACAAGCCAGAGGAGCTGGGGGTCCTCCTCCCTTCTGGGCATTTCCCTCCCATGCAGAGCAGCTCTGGTTGTCTCATGTCCACTTTTGTCCCATAGTGTGTTGAAAAGCCCATCCTTCTCCTTTCCATCCATCCATCCATCCATCCATCCATCCATCTCCCTTTCAGCTCCTCCTCATGCAGCCCCTCCTGACCCCACAAACAGCCAGGCTCTCCCCTTCCAGTGGGTGTTTCCAAGTCCCCCCCGCTGTGAATCACCCCCTCCCCAAGCCCTGCACCAAAATTATCCCTGAATTAACTAAACTAAAAATGAAACAAGCCGTGTGTGGCTCAGACCCCACCCCAGGCCATGTTGAGCAGTGGCCCTGCTCCACACCAGTGCCGGTTGCAGCCGGTCCTGCCTCTGTGATTCAGAGAAGCATTTTTGGATGAGATTCCTGTTTTCTGCAACTAGTGAGCCCTTACCAGCAAAGAGCTGATGGGTTACTTGCACAAAGAACAAGGCACTTGCATGCCCCCCAGGTAACCCTACTTCCCAAGGGCCTGGTCACCTCATGGCTTCATCCCCCAGCTCTGTTCAGCCATTCAAATGGACAAAGACACCCCCTCTCCCTGCTTGGGGTGAGCAGGGGGACTCCCTCAAGCTGGGCTTTCTCAGCTCTGGGCTGCAGCCAGCGTGCAATGGCTGGGAGCCCAGAGATGCTATCGGCCAACGAGTTCCTGGAGGGGGTTACGGACCCTGCTCCACCAAAGCATTGCACAAGAAAGCCAGACCAGCAGCCCTCCCACCCCCGCACCAGGCACTGGAAAGCCAGAGGAGGAGCGGGCAGCCTTCTTCCCTGAGCAATTCTGGCAATTGCATCGGTTTCCAGGAAATATGAATAACTGCCCGGCCATCTGGAACCAGCCCTGGGCTGGTCAGCAAAAAGTCCCTCCCAGGCTCTGCCCTGTTTCTGCCGGCTACTGGGTGAAAATGCAGAAGGTGGCAAGGAGGTGGCACAATGGGACAGTCCCCACCAGGATGCAGAGCAGCGATCCTGAGTCTTGCTCTGACCTTACGCTGGAGACCATCTTCACTCGACCCTGGAAAAAGCTCCTCCAGCCAGTCTTGCCATCCGTGCACCAAGCCAAGAGCTTGTCCTGGGGCTTGGGATACTCAGCCACTTCCCCAAGGCTCTCACTGGCTTTCCAGGTGCTTAAGGAGAAGGATAAGCAAGAAGAAACCCTTCACTCCATCATACTTCACTTTTCTTCATTTTATTCTTTTATTTGTACAGCTATATTTTACAGAACGCATTAATGCAGTTTAGACACAGCCCAAACCCTGTCTCCCGAGATTGTTTATAACACAAGCATGTAAAATATGACCAAAAAAAAAAAACCCCAAAACAAAAAAAACAAAACATTCCCCGATAGAGAGTTCCACCAAAACTCCTTTTGCAACATCAGGCTGTACCTTGAAGAAACTGAGCTCAATATAGTCCATACATTGAAAACTTCCATTGAAAAGAAAGGCACCGTGCGAAACCACATTTTACATATATACAGACTGAGAACTAGAACAAAAAAATTACACTTTATTATTATTTTAAATTCCTTCTGCAGCTTTGTTGGTTTAATACACACTTTTTTGTAAATTGTAAACCTTCACTTGCAAAAAAATACAAATACACTGATGCATTTAGACAAAATATTTTCTTACTTGTACAGATGCAATACTTTAAAATATCTCGTTAAGTGCTCTATCATAATAAAGATTCTCAGAGTGGCTTCTGCCTGCAGAGTCCAACTGAGCCTTTAATGCATTTTATATATTTTTAATATAGCTTTTTTTAAAGGTCTATATATATTTATTTTATATATATATTTATATATTTATATCTATATATATTTACAACTCTGCCATAGATTCCTTCACCTTTGGTTAAAAAAGTTAAAGCCCTCTCTTTAATAGCATACTTTCTCTTTAAAAGAACACACATTTTGCATACAAAAGAAAAAATCTGTTCCCATAAATCAACATTACATTCCTCATCTTCAAACGGCAAAGGCTGTGAAGGTTAGACTCCAGAGTTTATCAACACTCCACTGCACAGACATTTAAAATGACTATTCTTATTTTTTTTTTTATGTTTTATATACAGTAAGATCTGAATAATTTTATTTGTCTTTTCGTTTCACATAACTGGGAAAAATAAAACCCGTGTATTTGTAATTTTTTTTTTTTAAAGTTTCTAATGTTTTTTCCACCTATCTGCACTATGGGTTTAGAGGCACTCCATCATGTGATGAAATTATTTTTTTTTTTTCTTTCTTTCCCTACCCACCCCCCACCCCTTTTTCTTTTAAAGTGTTCCAAGTATCCTTTGGATAGCTTCTCTCCCACCCACCCCTTTCCCCAAAGACGACCTCCTCCTGGGAAATCCTCTGCCTTCAGCAGGCCTTGGGGAGCTCGGGAGGCACCTCGCTCGCCGAGATGCGGTACTGCACCTTGGTGTTGGTGATGGCCCCGTGCTTCTGCCGGAGGTGAAGCCGCAGCTGGCTTTTGTGGCGGAAATGCAGGTTGCACTTCTCACACTGTGGGGCGAGAGGCAAAGGTGGAGGGTGAGAAATAACCACGCTAAGGGGACATATCCCTTCCCCTGAGGGCAGAGGTCCCATGTCCCGCTACCCCAGGATGGGGGAACGTGAGGATGCAGGTGGAGCAGCAGTGGGGAAGCTGAAGAAGCACCCAGGGGCCCTGAGTTGCCCTTCTTTCAGTCCCTAAACCTTGCCCCGTGTCCTGTCGTTCTGTCCCCACAGCGTGGGCACCTCTCCCGGGGTCAGGAACCCCATCCCAGGCTTTCAGCAGCACATTTCAGTTATGGGATGCACAAAGGCCGAGGTCCCTTAGGAGGGAACCTTGACTGATGGACATAGTGCCAAGCTCTTTATCTAGATGCTCAAACCAGCTACAGGGCTATTTCAGGAGCTTCTTTTGACCCCTGTCAAGCTGGATGGCTCCAGAGGGATGTTTGGATGATAACCCCTGCTCCGATTCCATCTCTAGCAGATGGGGATAGCCCAAAAAGTCTCGGCAAAGAGCTGGGAGCCCCCAGGGCTGCAGCAAGGCAGGGCAGGCTGCTTGCTCATCACAGGTGCCACCAGCACAGGAGACCCCAGGCCAGGCTGCTCCTTTCCCCCATCCCCACACTCAGCGGGCGGCTGTAATTTAAGCCACAGCTATTTGGAGAAGTGTGACCTTCTTCCAGATGGGCTGGAAGAAAAGAGGAGCAGCTAAGATGTACCCAGCCCGGGCGGCACGTCAGTGTTTCCAACACAGCCGTTCAGGACAAAATACCACATGGACATCAGCTAATGCATGGGGGGGGGGATGGGGCACAAGGAGCAGAGACGTGACCTTGGCATGGGGGCATTGGGGTGCTGCAACCAGCCCACACGAACGCCTCTGTGTCTTCTCAGCCCCCTGAGTTTGGCAGCATCCTTCCCCACGCCCTGCTGAGACACCTCTGGCCCCCCCCAAAAAAGCAGCAGAGTCACTCACATGATAGGGTTTCTCTCCCGTGTGGATTCGAAGGTGACTTTTGAGGGTCTGCAGGTGCCTGAAGCGTGTGCCGCAGATTTCACAGGGGTACGGCTTCTCCCCGGTGTGAATGAGCACATGAGCGCGGAGGTGGGCCACCTAGAGAGAGAACATCTCCAGGTGAGGACAGCCTCACAGATGAGGGCATCCCACTGGGAGCGGGGTTCTGCCCAGCCATCTTTTTTTGGTCTATGGCATTCTAGCTGGGCCACATATGTCTGAGGTTTGACATCTCCAATCCTTAACAGCAAATGGAGGAGAGGAGGTAAAACCATCCATCAGGCTTCCTATTAAGCCAAACTGGCCCACATGAACCTGGAGGCCCCTATTTATCCCACAACACCATGGGAAGAGCCACCCAAGGCAGTGAGCATGGCCCATCAGCCTCCTCCCTGCCAAGTGTCACCAGTCTTGGGCAGGAGGTCTAGCCGTGTCCCATCTCCCCAGGCACTGCAGGTCCCAGAGGCCACACGCACCTGGACAAATCTGGCCCCGCAGGTCTCGCACTTGTAGGGTTTCTCTCCGGAGTGGATGCGTGTGTGGGTTTTCAGGTTGGCCGGCCGGTTGAACTGCGCCCCGCAGATGTTGCAGCGGTACGGCTTTTCTCCTGCAGAGCCCCAAAGAAAGGGTGAGAGATTAAGCTCTGGCTTGCTCAGCCCCCCACGATCCACAGTTAAGTCCCTTTAAATGCCAGACCCTATAGCATGAAGCACCAGCCCTAACTCCTGTCCCTTTTGGAGATGGCTGTGGACAAGCAGCATCGGTCAGGACAGCTCGGGGTGTCCCCAAAACAGGGTGAGATCAGAAGGCACCCAAACAGGTACCTTTTCTTTTTCAGGTTAAGAGCTGCAGCCTTCAGCTTCAGCTGTGATAAGCCATGCAGGGCCACTTGGCTCCCTTTGGGCTCCCCGTGGTCCCCAGCACATCCTGCCCTGGTTGTTCATCACCTCTTTAGAGGAGCGAGAAGAGCTGATAGAGTGGAAAGCCAAGGCACACCCAATGACCTGGCTCCCAATTAATTTTTCAGCTACAATCACTGCTGCCAGCCCCAGCTGACTTTCTCACAGTGATGGGGGGAGCTGCAAAAAGGTTTTAACTAGTTTTTTGGGGACGGTTGAAGATGGGCTCAAAGGGGAGCAGGAAACAGCCATCATCAACCCCTTCCTGCCTTGGCACTTGTGTTGTCTCATTCACCGGCGCAGCCCTCCCGGAGCTCAGCTGAGGCTGCTGGACTTTATGCCTAACACAGCGCAGCAGCACCGAGTCATCAGCACAGACTTCCCTTCCCAGCCCCTGAACTGGCTGTTGACATGTTAAGCATTAATAAAAGCATGAAAAAAAAATAAAAAAAATCCCCAGGTTTGTCAGCAAATGACTAAACCCTTAATATCCCCTTCCTTTCTCAGCTTTCATTGTGCTGATTCACAGAGTCCATCTGTTCACAGATTTTCCCATCAGCAGAGTTTCTGCCAGGCTAGATATGATCTGGATTTCTAGGATGTAGGAAAAAAAAAAAAAAAAAAAAAAAACCCAAA